AATTCTTGAAGACGCATGCCATTTTTGCAGGCAAGCCTAGACTCCATCCTGTGGAGTCCCTTGTGGCTGGCTCGTGGGCGCCACCTGGTGCGGCTGGCACTCAGCCTCCGTCCAGGGCAAGCCGGTCACCACCTGCAGAACCTCCTTATCCATGAGATCCTACCCAAGAAAAATCACAGAAACACATGCATACTCAAACACACTGCAGAAACCCGGCCAGGCTCTTCTTAAAGATAAGATGCCCATCCAGAGGCACACAAAAGCCACCGACCCTCCTGGGCACATAATGCATCCACATACCCATGCAGACAGTCACACACACACACACACACACACACACGTGCACAGGGTGACACACGAACGCACACATACCCTGAGCCCTCCCCCCGACCCCTCCCTCCTCCATCTTGGCTGGTCATGACTCTCTCTGTCCAGGTTCTGGAGTCAGAAATGGAAGAGCCATCCCTGACTCCTCACTCACACCCCACGTCCCACTCGACCAGGAAACCCTGCTGCTTGCACCTTCCAAATACGTCCATAATCTACCACTCCCCCGCCCCCAGCCCCAGCCTATGCCGCTGTGCTGGGCCGGAGGGATGATGGCAGAGGGTTCCTGGTCCGTCTCCCTACTCCACTCTTACCCCTGGAGTCTCTTCTCACAGAACCAGAATGTTTTACATTTTTGTTAGGAAATATCATGCTCAGAAACATGCGATAGTTTCTACAATGGAATAAAAGTTGAGTCTGGACAGTGGCCAAAGGTGGCATGTACGGGCCCCACCCCAGCTCACCTGAGGTCTCCCCCTACTCTCTACCTGCCCACCCCACCCCTTGGCTGATGGTTGGACTTGCTGCTGTGTTCCCGTCATGGGTCCCTCATGCTGACTGATACCCTGCCTGGACCACTTGTCCCCCACATCTCCAAGTCACAGACTTGAAGCAATAGATGATAGAGGGTCAGGGCCTGAGGTCCATGCACACGTATGTGCATGTGTGTGTATGTGCCAGTGATATATGTGTGATGTATACAGTGATATTACGCAGACTAGGGCTGCGTAACAAAGTACCACCAACTGGGTGACTTAAAACAAGAGGAATTTGTGGTCTCACAGTTCTGGAGCCAGAAGTCAAGACCAAGGTGCCCACTGAGCCATGCTCCCTTGGAATAGGCCTCCTTCTATAGGAGGAAGAGAATCCTCCCTTCTCTCTCTGGCTTCCTGTGTGAATTTGCAGCACATTCTTGGTCTTCCTTGGCTTGTAGGCACATCATCCAACCTCTGCCTTGTCTTTTTTGGCCCTTTCCCGGGTGTGTCTCTGCCTCTGTGTCTTTTCCTCTCTTGTAAGGACACCAGTGAGTTAAGGCCCACCCTACTCTGGTTTGTGCTTTTCTTGACTAATTGCATTCCTAATGACTCAGTTTCTAAATAAAGCCACATTCTGAGCTACTGGGGGCTAGCACTTCCACAAATCCTGTTGGGCGGACATAATGAAACCCATGGCACGCACACTTTTGGATTCTTCAAGGATTTGCTCCAATGCCCTCTCCTCCAAGAAGCCTACCCTGACCACCTCATATGAAACTGCAGCCCATCCCAGCCCACCGTTCTCCCCACCCTCCCCCCGTCCAGCTCTGGTTTTTACTTTTCCCATAGAAGTTGTCACCACAGAACATGCTGCTGGGTTTCTGTTCTCGTGACTAAAAGGCTCAGGGGTCACTCCAGTTGAACTGGGCTGACTGGGCTGCATGAAATAACCACA